GCTTGACTATTCTATGTCAAGCATAGAATAACTGTATAACACATAGTACTCCATAATCCATTCCTATTCTAACTAACACTAGTGAGTAATCCATTATTCTGCTTCTGGTAGTCTCATCTATTAGAAAAGGAAATGTTAGATGTCAAGGTTTACAGGGCATGGCCTCAGTTCCTTGTGTAATGCCTTCTAGATGCCAACGAAGCCCGCAGGCCAATGTTTCTTTCACGCAGGAGAATGGGATCAGTTAAATGAGCTTTCCATCCAAGGCTCGGGTGCGGGTGGCAGAAAGACCATTCCAATCTGTATTCTATCATGGCCCTATCATCTAAAGAAAACACCTGCACTATATCCCACACGTTAACCTTTGAACCGTATGATCTTACTCCCCTTGCCTCACTGAACTGCTTTTACTAAATCTGCCCTCGGTGGGTCCAGCCTTCATCTTCCCTCAAGGCTCCAAAAGCAACTTGCTGCCATCTAGGGAGGCAGTGACGGTTACAAGTCTAGGAGAGGACATCACCCCAGTGCCCCATTAGGGAAGGCATGAGGGGGACATTTCTTTCAGGAGGGTCGGGAGAACTGAGGAACAGAAAGGACTCTGCTTGCCTTGAAGAATTAATGATTTTGTCTTTTTGCAAACAGTGGAAATCAGAATCACGGAGCATGTAGCTGATTTTTTTTTACTTCTCCACGAATGACCTTACACTGCTCTGAATTATTTTTCACCTTAAGTCCGAGGGTGGGAAAAATAACACATTCCAGTTTACTTACGGTTCTGTTAATTGAAGGTTATCACCTTATTTTTAAAATAGTGCTTGGAGAAAATAATCCTCTTGTGGTTTTAAGAAGTACTTAAAACCAAACAAAAAATTAAAACCTTTAAAGAAAACACATTTTTTAAAAAATAGTAACAGTATTACTAATTTTGAAAAGACTGTTGATGTCACTGTGGTTTATTGGTAAATACAAAGTATAGGCTCTTTGCTTTTTTTTTTTTTGCTATATATTTTTTTAAAGCAAAGCCAAGGAGATTAGAAACCAAGTACACATATCCTCTTTAGAGTAGAAACATAAATTAGTTTTTAACAATTAGGCACTTAAAATGTAAATGTAAAATGGCATTTTTAGAAGTATAAACTACAGTTCCACTCCTAAATACCTCCTGAAATGTTTTTACGAACACAAAAGCACAAGCACTGAAAACATTTCTAAACAAAGATAATTTCCTCTTTAAAAAACAACAACAACAAACCTGAACACAAATCCTTCTCTATGAGAGACCAACGACTAAGGTATTAGGGAAAGGAGAAAAGAGCTTCTGAAATTTACATGTTTGATTAAAATATAAGCATTTAATAAAACTATTACAATAGCATACAGTATATATTATAATGAAAAATATGTCAGGAAAATAATGAATTCTAGACTTAAAATTTTACTTTACAACAAGGCACTTAACACATTGAAACAGTACAGTAAATTTCCGAAAGACTGCAACAGGCTACCTCTCACACCTTGTAATATTTCTTTTACGAATATACTGTAACATAACCGTACATTTTGCAGCATTAATCATTGCATAGGAGGTAAATTAAATAATGAATTCCAACTTGGCAACTAGATTAGCTTATGTTTACAGTTTTTTTTTCTTTTAAAGGACAGTTTTAAATAATTCCATAATAAAGAACTATTCTCATTCATGATTCATTTAGAACACAGCATAGTTAGATTAATGAGTAATAAATCAGAACTTATAAGGTGTGTATCTGTATAAAAACTTATCTTTGGGTACCTTTGACATGATTTTCAGTGTTTAGGTATTGAAGTCAAGAGCACTTCTTAATAGAATATTTTTAGCAAGTAAGTCAAAGGAGTTAAATTATTGCAACACAATGACATTAAAAAAAAATACCAGAAACCTTTATACAAATAGGAAAGCCTTCAACACATGGCATATTACTTAAAATATGCTCGATTTAAAACTTGTAAACTCATTTATCAAGAAATTCCTTCTCACACTTCCTTGCAGTACAGAAGTGAGTATGTTAAGACTGGCTTAAATTTTTAAGAAGTTTTACAGTGCAAAACAAAAATGACAAATAAAAAGGAAATGCTTGAAATATTGAAGAAACAAGATGTGAACTTTTAATTTAAAAAGCTGCATGAGCTTTAGCTGGTAAAAAAAAAATACAAATACAAAATAAGAAAGACTGCCAACCTTGTGTTTCAAAGTAAACAAAGTATAGGTAGTTATAAAGGGAGACATTAATGATTGTGATAATGAGAGGTAAAATGGTCTGCAAATTTTCTTTGATCGAATGGATAAAGGATTAGAATTGTAACTTCCTGGGATCTAAGCACATTTTCCCTTTGGGAAAGGTTTAAAAGACCTTTAAAATGATCCCTTTTGCATGATGCTTTCAGATTATTGGCAAAAACAAAACAAAAAAACAACAACCAAACCAATGCCTTTTAAAAACTTGAAAATATACTTTAAAAAGTGGCAAGTTTGCGTTCCAAGTCATATAACATAATTCCACTAGGGGGCACTGCTCTACAGCAAAGAACCTTAGGCAAGGTCCTCATTACCCTAGACCGGGGCCCGGGCTCGCTCAAAACAGCTTTCCTTCCTCAGCACAACTTATTTCCCAAGATGCCAGTAAATTAAATAACAAATTTAAAATCACTCTGGGTGGAATCAGGAGCAATGCTTTATTTTCAGAGCTGTGGAGGAGCTCAAAAAATAGAATCTGAGAGGAACCCATTTCCATTTGAAAGAATTTAGAAAAAATATGCCTAATTTATGGGAATCCTGTTATAGATATTGCACAGGACTCAATTCCAAGAAAAGCTTCAAACGGGAGCACTGGTTTACAAAAAAAAAAAGATAATGGATAAGATCTCGTATCATAATTAGCAAGGAAAAGGAGCTCCTAAAATTCACTATTTCAAAGGCAAGATCATAATTGTTTTAAATTTTCTATCCCAAAGGGGCATGTTAGGTTAAGCCTCAAGTTTGCTTTGGTAAATGTAAATGAGTTTCTCTATTTCTTTTATTTTCCCATCTTGAAACTTTGGTGTTTTCCCTCCTTTTCAAATCACATGTTTCCTCTGTGTCTATTAGACACCTGTGACACATACATGTAAGGAACACGTGAGCAATAATAGTGTCTCCACACATGAGGTCAGAGAGGTTTTTAAAGTTCTTTAAAAGGTGATGGTATTTTTTAAAAAACTGCATCACTTTACTAAAATGCAAGGTTTACTGTTTCAAGGGTCTCCAACAATCAACACACCATGAATTTTAAATCTTAAATACTTTTCCTTATTTAAGTTGAAGAAAATTAGGTTATCCAAGACACTGCTGAATAAGGCTCTCAGGTCTATCAGGTTATGAATTAGATGCTCAAGGAATACACCAACGTCAGGAGCACAAAACCCAGGCTTCCGTGTCAGATGCTTTTCCTTGTAATCGGACAGCAGGAATTGAAACTCAGTGTTTTCAAGCACAACACCTTAAATATCACAAGTGTCAATATTTAGCAAATGAAAGACAAAATTCTGGCTTAAGCACATCCGGTAAACTATAGATCTATTTCTTATTGGTTTATTTAATAACAAATACCAGAAAACTACTTGCGTTTCAAAGCCTGCCAAGGATATTCAGGATTTCCATCCTCATTTTAAATAACTGGATGAAGAATGTCTTTTTTCCTGCCTTTGAATTCAACTACCTTTCCTTTAGTGATTCTTCTGTTACTCAGAGAAAGAGCCATTCTGAATACAGACACAGAATTTTAGCACCAAAAATAATGACCCTTCTGAAAAAATTTGTATTGTGCTTCTCTCAAGCAATCTGAAGGTCAATTTTGTGTACCAAATCAAGGCAAACTAGTTTATAATGACAAATTTAGGGGTATTTTTCATTCTTAAGTGGAGGGAAATTTTCGCCTTTTTTGCCTTCAATATAAATGTAACTGCCCCCTTCTACCTCATGGGCCTGTCTTCTGACCTAGGGTTGATGATTCTGTAACCATAAATCTCATTTTAGAGTTACTAGAAGGCTCAAGAAATTAACCAACTCTGACAGCATTAATCTGATCTGATTTTTAAAAATCCATCTTCTTTTTGCATCACCTCAAAGAACTTTAGAAACGATGCTCCCCCTTTACTGAGTCGCTGTCACTGTCTAACAGACTGATTCCAACAGGAGAGGATAATGCAGCACCGTGGTGTAATTTCACGATCAAAGTAAAATTACTCAGTTGTGGCATATGTCCTTAGGACCCATTTATAAGAAGCTGAGTCTCTTGCTAAAAGGCAAGGATACATTACACTTTTAGACTCCATCTTGGTTTTTCCATAAAGTACAATGTAACTAGGAAGAAAGAGTTTCCAGTGAAACATGACCAAATGCATGTCTGAGTTCCGATTAGCCGATTTAGCCGCTCTAAAACAGATCTCACACAGGGTAGGACGGGAGAGAAATGCAGGCTTGTCCCCCAAGTGGCACGAGCATCCCTTCACATACATGCGTGTTTTCAGCCTGTGCTGGAGCAGCTACCTGCCCTAGGGGGCGGGGGGGGGGGGCGCAGATGCAAATTTACCAGGCAGAGAGCAGATGAATGTAATCACAAGGACCACCTGTTTAACAGAAATAGCTCCATGTTTCCTCTGTATCTGTCCTAGAGATTTTAAAGTGAAATATTTACACACGCATAAAATCTGTGAGATGTGTCCAATACTTCCATATTGGATCACCTTTCCTTTTTTTTTTTAAGAAAATTATCAGTTTAAAAAAAAAAAAAGTAGAAGTGATACACAGTGCAGTGGGTGGTAGCAGCAGGTGCACATTCCCAGACCTGACCCTGACCTTCCCCGTGATAAGGTGGAAACAAAGTTCACCTCAAGTTTACTTACAACCGATAGATCTTCCCCTCATTAATAAGTCTAATGCTAAAACCACTCTCAACATTAGGTTATTCTATTTACACAGTAGCTGTATATATCCAGATATTTTATTTAAAACATTAACAAATTCTTCTGATGTTGGAGGGAAAAAAAATCCTGAAGAAATTCTGTAGAGGGCTTTAGTGGATAAAGAATAAGGAGGAGGAATAGTAGGTTCTTTGGCACCTCTTTAACAAGCTCATTAGTAAAATCCCAGTTTGGGGGCTTGTCACCAATGAATGAAGAGCTGCAGGAGAATATACCTTTCTCAGGATGAATAAAAAAACAGTCAAAGGGTAATACTTCATTCATCTTTCTAATCATTTACACGAAATTTGGTCCACTTCTTCATTTACCAGTCAGGTCTTCTAAAATAAAAACCCAAAACTATACCTTTGGTTACAGCGTTAACTCTTTTGGTATAAGAGCTGATGCCTTTGTTTTGCTCCTCAGGTAGATTTCTCATTATCTTCACCGATCTTCTGAACCCGTGAATACTTTTTGCATGAAGATTTAAAGCAGCCAGGGGGCCAGGAGAGTGGCCAGGAGAAGCAGCAAGGAATTGAGCCTTGTACGTTTTTCTCGAAAAAATAAAAGATGGGGAACCACCATGCTCGAGACAAGAAATTCGTCTGTGAAGAGACCTTCAAGTTCTGTAAAAAGTAGAAAAATAAAAAGGAAAATGAGACCTATTTTTCATGATTTGCATCCTATTTTTTTTCTTATCATTCATTGTACCATAACAGAGAAAGCAGCAGAATCAGAATCACAAGGCAGTGTCTTTGTTTTTTTTAAAGATTTTATTTGTCAGAGCGAGAGAGAGAGAGAGAGAGGGATAGCACATAAGCAGGGGGAGCGGCAGGCAGAGGGGGAAGCAGACTCCCCGCCGAGCAGGGAGCCCGATGCGGGGCTCGATCCCAGGACCCTGTGATCATGACCTCCTGAGCCGAAGGCAGGTGCTTAACCAACTGAGCCACCCAGGCAGTATTTGTCTTTGTGCCTTTTCCCTGATCCTGACATATTTCTGGTCCCAGGCTCCTTCCCCCTTTCCATCTCATGCAAATTCTTCTGCCTGCAATCCCAGTAAGAGACTCAGGAGTGGATGTGTGAGTTGTCCAGGAGGGACAGTGCTCAGGATGCATAAGCAGGTGGATCGAGGCCCAGGAAGATGGAAGAGTGAAAGGTGAACTTACAGGGTGGAACAGATTTAAGGTGAAAAGTGAAGGTTTTGGGTTGATGGTGTCAGGAGATACCCAGATGGAAGTGTAAGAAGGAAGGAAGGTGGAAATGGGAGGCTACAAAATGGGAAGGAGAGCTACAGACACAAAATAACCCATAGAAAAGGCATCTATCAGTGGATAGCCCTAGACGAGAGTTGGATTTAGACCCTTTGGGAATGACATTTGCTCACAAATTATATGCATCAGACAATATGGCGGGACCACCCAAAGAGAAATCCTCCTACACGGACTCACTCTCTGACACCAGGCACACACACCTAGACTAGGGAAACACAGAGAAGGGGAGGAACCGTCCCATCTTGGGATGACAGGAAGACAGCAGGAGCTAGGAAGCCTTCCCAGAAGATGTGGCCTTTGAGTTAGCTCTTTCCACATGAGCAGCAGAAGCAAAGAAAAGGTCGCCTGGGGACAGAAGGCAGCAGTAACAAATAAGGAAGTATAAGAAGGGAAGCCAGAGAGCACAGTATCACCAAAAGATGTACCAAATCCAGGAATCCACGGACTACTTATTTTGCGTGAAGTTTAACAATAATTGCCGTCTTCGCAAAATTAGGTTCTCTGAGGGCAGGGAGCAGGGCCTACTGAGCTGCACCACATTGCTTCTATAGAGAAGGTTCCCGTATTTTAAGTTAGCATTTATACTTCTTCAATTCTGGTATCAATTAGTCAAATTAGGAAAACACTATGCTCTATAATTACACTGCCCTTTTATCCTTAAATGTCATCTATATTTGTGACATGATTCATTTGAAGAGGCAGTCACAGGGATATGTTTCAGTGAACTGACCCAGACCCCACACGTGAGTGGGGACAGTGGGCATTCCCACTAAAGCTATCTGAAACCCCGCTGTATGAAAAAAGGGCCACTGCATTGCAAGAAAAGAAATTATCCGGGGATGGCTTCCCTGTTCTCACCTTTTCATTGGCCATTGAATGGTACCACCAAAACAGCCGTGTTGTAATATAATAAGCAATGATCACATCGATGGTATAGTGTTCGTGCGCTACAAGAATGCAGATGATCCCGGCGGCACTCAGCAGCCAGCAGATTAAATGATACCACCAGAAGTGACGAGGCGAATCTAGACAGCAGAAAAAGTATAGAGTTAATAAGATTCCCAGAGACGAATTCAGTGATTACAGTCTACACTAACGACCTTAAGTAGAATAATCTAAGATCAGGAAGGCACCGGAAGAAGAAAACAGATTAACCCCCAATGAGTCACCGTCAGCCGCCCAGGATTTGCTCCGTAGGAAGGGAGCGGGAAGTGGACCACAGGTAGCAGGTCTGATAGTCATTCCCTGGGGAACAGTCATTGTCTAGACATCCTAGACCTTGCCCACTGCTAAGCCACTCGGTAAGGAAGAGAACAGAATTGTTTATTAGGTTGGCTGGAATTGGCTCATACTGGCTCACAGAAGGGATCCCACCAGAAAGAAAAGCGGTAGGGGTCAAAAGCAAGGGTAGTTGTCAAGGAAAACGTGGGGGCAAATGAGAAAGCAAGAGTCATTTCAGGTCTTACATAAACTTACTCTGATTTCTCCAGGGGGAGAAAAACAGCCTTGCGGCTAGCAATATTTTGCTTCTCAGCAGTTTTATACTGTTATTGCTAATGGCAACTATAAATGCTCCCTATATAAAGCTTAGGATTCTGGCTCATTCACTTGTGGATTTTAGCCTTCCTAGTGAGGCCACCAAGAAGGTCATCATATTGATCGGCTGTAAGAGAGAACAGAGCACTCATCAGGTGAAACAGGATCGTGCACCCCACAGCTTGCCTGCACAGGTGCTGATGATGCAGGTACAGATGCAACCTCTGGTTCATTGCCGATAGCTTTCTCTTTTTCTTTAATAGCTTTTCCCTTTTTTTCTATTTTAAAGCCTTATTAGCTCACAAAGTTAATACTCTCACAAACCGATTTATTTTCTATTTGCCTGTGTTTATCTTCATAGTGATATTTATTTCTAAGTGCAGAACCATGGTAGAAGAGTAAAAGGATCCACCTCCAGAAGTTCAGAGGAAACACCAAATCAGGTATCACTCAAATGAAAAATAGTTTTTGGTGAAATAGCTGTTGCTCTTTTGGTCCCAAGCGGAACAGTTAGATACTAAGCCTGCATTTGCATTTGGAAGTCTGACTTTTCCATTTTGAATGTGCTCCTTGTTCCTTCTCAGTTGGCTCATCCTGCCACTAAGTTCTAGCAGACAAGTGACGGACTCCTAGAATTTTAAAGCTGGAAGAGGCCTTACCCTTTACAGCTTGGGTGGCCAGATCCAGGCCCCACAATTGTTCTGTTAGGCGGAGAATACTCAAAATTGAGCCAACATTTAGACATCTGGAGAGTTCACTAAATATACATTCTGCAGAACCACAGACTCCACCCTTCCCCGAAGTCTCACACCAACCCAGCTACCTCTGCTGATAGGTCCCCTGATATTTATTACCTTAGATAAGTTAAAACTGTTTGGACAAACCAGAACCATTTTGTATTTGTTTATCCACAAGAAGCAAAGCTGAAGCAGACAAGGAGTAAAGAGGCGGGCCGAATGGTCATTTTACTACTTGTGGAACTGAAAATGAAGTTTTAAGATGGCTGGAAATTCTAACACTGCTCTTCCACAAAAATGTATTCCCAGATATGCTACCACATTGGGACCACTGCACACTAACCGAGCACAGTGGCTGACCCAAAGCAAAGATTTAATAGAAATTATTTTGAAATAGAAATGGGAAAATGGTAACCCCTTCCCGCTTTCCCATCCTACCACTGGGAGAACATCGAGCTAAAAGATAACGATACAGGGCGCCTGGGTGGCTCAGTTGGTTAAGCGACTGCCTTCGGCTCAGGTCATGATCCTGGAGTCCCGGGATCGAGTCCCGCATCGGGCTCTAGCCTGCTTCTCCCTCTGACCCTCTTCCCTCTCGTGCTCTCTATCTCTCATTCTCTCTCTCTCAAATAAATAAATAAAATCTTAAAAAAAAAAAAAAAGATAACGATACAAATATTAATCCAATCCACTTGTCCGTGTGGGCTCCTAGCCCTAGCTGTCATTGAAAAATCATACAGACAATGGACTTTCTGTGGTAACAAGGTTAAAAAAGAAGGAAAAGAAATAGAAAGCAAGAAAGAAAAATTTCCCCCTCTCCTAGCAAGACATTTGGTTCTAACTGCTAGGCTGACCTCCTTGGGCTAATTTTGTAAGGAACCTAGGCCCCAGTGATAAAATTTGCACAACAGTGGAAAGCCCACAAAAATGGTCCTGGTCTCATGTTTTCATCTGTTCTCTTGACAACATTCAAATCTACTCATGACAACCAAGCAAACAAGGAAGGAGACCAAATAGATCAAAAGGCAGGAAAACAAAAAATATAGGAAAAACGCATCTAATTCTAGAAGCATTCTGCTCAAAGAAGCCATTGGAAGCACTGCTTACTCAGAACAATAACACATGGTATCATTTAGAAGGTGATGGTTTTTCCTAATTGCACAGGAAACGAGCACAAACATGGAATGCTCTGTTTATGTACAGAACTGACTCTACAGCAGGGTCTGTATTAAGCATTACAGATTTGCCATTTCATTTCTCACCAAAAATTAGAAAAAGCAGAATATAAATCTTTCCCTGCTGTATGTAAACTTAATACAGTTTTAAAAACCTCAAGCCAAAATCATGCCGTGGGAAGCAAATCTCTCTACATACTGCAGAGCCTTCATTAAAGCATAAAAATAATCACAAGTTGCCTTGCTATTGCTCTGAAGTAAAAGAAAGAATAATGAGCAATAGACCCAGACTGTTCCTTAGCAATTTTATAAGATCAGACAACTTGGATTCCCAAATATTCTAAACAGAGCCAAGAAATTAATAGCATAACCTCTGGAGTCAGCCTGCTTGAGTGTGAATACCCTGTCCTCCAATTACCAACTGGGGACCGTGGGAAGTCATTCTCTATGTTTAAATTTCCTCCCTGAAAAATGGGGAAAACAGTGCTTCTCTCTTGGGGTGGCTGCAGGATTAAATGAGTTATTTTGCATCAACGGCTTAGAACAGTGCCTGGCACAGAGTATTATGACTTTTTGCTATTGCTGTTAACAACCCTTGGTCTTCAGTTATTTTATAAAATTGACCTTCAGTTTCCTGGGGTGATTCTCTTCATTACTTTGAATCCACAATGGCTTTGCTCCAACATGCAACGCCTCCCCACCCTCAACCTCACCTTTTTCTATAAATTTCTTATGATTTTCAGATTAGAGAGAAGCTCCTACAACTCAAGTACACCTCTGCACTGGAAAATAATTGATCTTACACACAGGTGGAACTTTTTCCAACAAAAGTTAGAGTCAGAATCATAAACAGCACAGATCACTCTACTGACTCATCAGAACCAATAACTAGGTATTGGAAATGTAGTGACTGACATTTAAGGAAGAGACAACCCCCTGATATTGGTGCAGAAACAGACTCAGGTTTCTTCCCATTACCACCTCCCACAGTGTGAGGCTGAGGGCAGAAATAAGGGGAAACGTCCAGAACGCCCTCTGCCGTAAAAAAGTCAGGTATGATGAAGTCTGTGCACTTAACACACTACTCTCTGTACCAAGTGTGTGTGTGCGTGTGTGTGCGCACGTGTGTGCGTGTGCGTGGCATTTACAAAGGAAACAACTCAGAAGCTACACAATTCTTACCAAAAAAAAGACTTCAGTTCATCTACTGTAAAGAACCTCAACTCTTTGTCATAATACTCTCAAAGCAGAACTTAAACCTAAAACCCCAGGAAACCCAAGGGACAAGAACTCACTTATGCACCCCGGACAGATAAACTCTGACGTCCACACTGCCATCGGCCATTAAACTTGTCTGAATTAATGACAGGCCAAGAGAGGGTGGAAGAAGCAGGACATCAGAGGGGGAGGCGTCCTTCTGCTGGTCTTTGCTAAAAGACCTCTTTACAATGCCGAGTAAGCGAAGAAAGTTGAGATAAGGCTCTAAGAAACACTGTGGAGTGTTCTGGAACTAAAGGGGAAGGTTAACCTGACCAGCATTGCAACAAGGAAGGAGAAAGTATCACTCGCTTTGAAAGGACTTTGAGCTGATGGGCCTAATTAAAACAAACCTCAGAAATCTACAACAAGGGGATCTGCCAGGCAAATAAAATACAGATCCCACAATGAAGGAGACATTATACCAGCCATGAAAGCTGACAGGATATACAAGGATTTTGTATAATGGGAATTCAGTGTATAAATATGGAAAGATACTTCACATTCTTGCCTCCATGTTGTTTTGTACAAAGAAATGATCAATACGGGCAAAATGTTCCTTGAAGATGCCTACTGAATCATAGAAGTCGGCTGGAAAATGGTGAAATTGGAATGGGACAAGAAAACATCTAAAAAAGGGGAAAACATTAAATTATTTGGAATGATGGAAGTTCCATACAATGGAAGTTTCACTCAGAAGTCATTTACATTTGGCTTTCCAGTGCATGGATTCTGTTTGCAATAAACTTAACACTGTGTTCTTCTTAGTTGCAACATTAAAATAACTTTTCATATCTAGAGAAGAGGCGGGAGAGAGACATTGTGGAGGCATGCTAAATGTTAGAGAATCCAGGGTCAAGTTTTAAGCCTCCAGTGTCCAAATCACATAGGACTAGTTGAAATGATTTAAACACACACACACACACACACACACACTCCTGTCTCTTTCATAGCTATCAATCCCAATGGAATAAGGGTTCCCATCAATTTCTGGCCTTAGGGATCCCTCCCACCACAGTAGTCAACAGAGTGGGAAGGAGTTAGACTCACATTCTTTGATGAACAAATAAGTAAGTGTCAGCACAACGGTGTGACCGCTGAAGAGGAAGTCTCCACACAAGATATGGGATCCAGTTATGGACAATCCACCACCGGAAATCAATCGCAGAATCCGTTGTATTTTTGCCTGAGAGTCTCCGTTGAGCTGAAAGACACAAGATCAGGAAGAAAATTTACAAGCCGATAAAATCACACTTCAGCCTAATTTGTGTGATACTTAGAAAGCTTACCAGGTTGTGCTTTTTCCCTTTTAACTTAAAAAGCCAAAAGAAGCCAAGGGGGGAAGCTCCTCCAATTAGGTTTTATTCGTTGTACCGGCGAGTTTTAGTGACACGTTTTAAATTATTCAGTATGTTACTAATAATATGTTTTGGTGGTGGTGTGTCCTTGGGCAAAGCTTTTAAAAAATATTAATAACCAATGACTTCACCTCAGCTATGCACTAAAAAGATCAAAGCTACTTTCTTTCCTCTTTGTAGGGGGAAGGCAGGGTTTTGGATGGTTAATATTTGATTCAGCTGAATACCACATTACTAATACTCTAAAGTGTATTCGGGGACTTTTGTGTTAAGTGGGCAGCCTAAAGTGTGGAAAGAGCTGTGTTAATATCTGATCAAGACATTTACAGTTAAGAAGGGAGCTGCAACACATTACATAAATAGGTTTGCAAATGATGGATTAGAGATGTATTGACAGCTTTTAAAAATGAGTAGCTCTGATCAGGAAAAACATCCTCCAAGGAAATAATCTGTGTGCTGTTGCAGAGGGCAAGAGTGCTCCCTTGGACAGTGGTGTAGAAGTCCCTAGAAGCCACCATGATGACACAGGAAACAATGATGGGCTAGGACAGGAGTTTGACCCAATAGTCAAAAGTTTATATCCCATTAAAACTGAAGCAAATAGGCAGGAGTAGTAGACTGAGTGGGTCAAAATGGTAGGCATGGAAAATTGGAATACTGAAATGCTCAGGAGCCAGATAAAGAGTTTCAGAACAATCTAGTATCAGGTGAACAGGCTTAGAAAAATCAAGGAATGATCCTCAGAAATATATTCAGATAATAGTACACATGAGAAGAGAAATACAGAAGGACCACTAATGACTAGTCATCTGGGACCTAGGGGGCCAGGTCTAGGACACGCTGCCTTTTGTACTCAATGATGATCCTTTCGGGCAACTAGGCCCTGAAGCATGGCCAGTCCAGCCTTGATGATGGCTAAACAGGTGATGAAGACAGGCAGTATCCTGCCCAAGTGGATGCCAGGGGGTAAAGGAGGGTAGGATGCGTACAGGTAGACGGGAGGATGGTCTGGGAGTAGAGAAATTCAGTTAGCCTCTAAAGCAAGTGGAAAACCATCCTATCCAGTACAATAGAAATCCGGGCAGGATTCCTTGCCTAAAACATCACTATTGGGACCTTGGAACCTTCCTGATTAAAAAAAGAATTCATAAGGATCTAGAAAGTTCTCTGGTATTCAGATGACCCATGTAAAAAGGCAAACACACCATGATTGGTTCATAGTTGAGAATAAGGCTCTGCAAGAGAAAATGCCATAAACTGGGATTAGAGGGCAAGGTGAGAAGTAACTTTCTTCAAAAGTTTGCTTAGGGCAAGCCCAGGTGGCAAAACCAGAACACAAATATTTTATCAAGACTTGATAGTCCTTGGGGCACCTGGGTGGCTCAAACGGTTAAGCGTTTGCCTTCGGCTCAGGTTGTGATCTCAAGGTCCTGGGATTGAGTCCCATATCTGGCTCCCTGATCAGTGAGGTGTCTGCTTCTCCCTCTCCCTCTGCTGCTCCCATCTGCTCTGGCTGTCTCTCTCTCTCTCTCTCTCAAATGAATACATAAAACCTTAAAAAAAAAAAAAAAAAGACTTATAGTCCTTAAACCAACATGCCAAATAACAGGTGATCCTGCCTTGAAAAGAGAGGATCTAGAAGGCAGCAAAGGATCCATACTGGGGAAGGTTAAGTACTGCTAACAGAGCTGCAGGACTCATTTCAGGGGCACCTCAGGAAAGGTGTGTTGCAAACTACATGAAATAATGTGATACACCCTTGATGTGGAAGGTAAGACTCTAGCTGTGTTCTTTATCAGATCAATCACAGTCCTTCAGGAACTTCTTATCACGTGGTTGGCACAAACAACTGTTAACACTGAGAGCAAATTAAAAAGTACATATGCTGCCCAACCACTGTGTTTACAGTTTAAAAGGACATGTTATTCATTTCAAAACCCTAACGTATTTTTTTAATCTGTTCGCCTATCCCAACTCAGTACTCTAATTTCCTAAGGGCAGAAACCCTTAAAATCATCAGTCCCTTGACCCAGGATTAGATGGACCCAAAGGTCTAAGCAGACCAGGAGCTGAACTATTGCCACACATTGTCTTCTCCCCTCTTCCTTTCAGCAGCGAGGGTGAATGGAGATTTCTGATAGCCCTGGATTCATTATGCCTTTACAGAACAGAGAAAGCATGCTCTCTTCTTGCTCTGTCTTTCCACAGTTCTTAATTCCTCGGTCCTGTCATTGCTATCCTAGATGTCAATTCATGCTCAGTATAAATGCTAAAGAGCACCTCAAGAAAGGGGGGGAAAAAAGAGGGTAGAAAGAAAACTGGGGAGGGAGGGGAGGCTAAGTGAGAGTTGGGATTAATGGGGTTTTTTTCCTAATTCTGTTTTGGTTCACTGGGACCCTCCATCACTCACCACTTAAGACTCTAGTTCCTATTAATTTCCTCATTTTTTCAGACACCATTCCACACCATGACTTGGTATGGAACAGAAGACGTGGATGACTAAGAGGAGAGGCATCGATCACAAGCGCCAGACCAGACGGGTGCTCCGTGTTCTAAGGGTTCCTGGAGCTGTTACCACCACATGCCACGTCCCACACCAGGAAAGTACAAGACAGCCCAACACGGCTGATGACAAAACAAAAAACTCACCCTGCACACTGTCCCTTCAGCTCAGAAGAAGGGTCCTTTGGGCACTCATGGCCAGGAAAGCTTTCTCAGGTAAGGGACTAGAGCTATCCCTGCCCAACATTCTTGCACGTGGCCAAATGGGTTTGAAAAGCTAAATCATTTCATCCAAGTCCTAATAACCGGGCCAAAATGGATTTAAACACAAGATTCAGTAGATGGGAGGATGGTCTGGGAGTAGAGAAATTCTACTGGCCGTATTAGATTTGGGGAATCCTGTAGATCATGCCCATATCTCACCTTTAGCTATTTCAGATCAGTGAGTTTAGGCGGAAAAGCCGAACCAAGAACTTGGTGCAAAATCCCACCATCTTCGTGGGATTTGACCTCTGCCCTGGGACCAGGGGCACTGGGCTCACGCATAGGCAGAGCACTGAGTGCTGAACTGGGATCCTGTAAGTTCCATGAACCATTCCTCTTTGGTTTGGCTTGTTGATATGATTAAAATAATTTTTTATTCCTTTAAAAAAAAAAAAAAGACTGCAAGATTTTGTGACTGCAAACCAAAACTCGGATGGGTGGGCTGAGGCAAATTGTAAGCAAAAGACTCAAAGTGAGCTCCAGGAATAGACAAGGGAGAAGGCAGCTGGGAAACCAAAGGCCAAGGGTTTCCCCAATCTTGTGAAATCACGTGTGGGGACTGTATCCACTGAGGAACAAGTTGTGTTAGGCAGCAAAGGCTGTGTTTGACACCCTCCCACTGCGAGTGGCTTCAGGATACACGGTCCTGTCATTGTTCACAGCCTCAGAGGATATTCCACGGAGTCAACAACAGAGGAGGCCGGTAGATTACCTAACAGCCTCGTAAGCACAATCTAAGGAGCACTCAAAGCCCGTGGCTGGACCCCACTGAGAACTCAATTCTGACTCCTGTTCTAGAACACCACACCACCTCCAGTCAAAGTGATCTGTGTGTTTATCTTACTGAACCCTTATTCAGGCACCCACAGCCAGCCTGCTTATGCGGCAGGAATAGGTCTTGACAGCTGAACATGGGGGCGGATTAGTTAGGAGGACGACCGCCAGAGCCTCTATTGTGAGTATTTGTAGCTTGGTTAGCCAGTGGTACATTTACTGATGTGGCTTCTGAAAATTGCAACTCTTCCAGAGAGGAGGATCTTTAATTTACTGTCTTTCTGTAATCATAGCAATTCATCTCTGCAAACCTCATCCATTACTGGGATGGGCTTGCTTTCTTTTCTGTGCCCACTTCTTCATTTAACACATAGCAATAACCCCCTTAGAAGCGCTTATTACTCTTCTGAACTTCTCCCATGCCTTAAATTAGTTTCACTAAAAATCGGCCAATGTTTAAATTCAATATGTACGCTGTTTTAATTACAAATACTTTCTGCTTTGATGGCTTTGGAAAATTAAGGCTTCTCCAAACCACACCTATATTTGGTGAGGGGGACTGTTGACTTCCTCAGAACAACTCTATTTTTCCTTCCACCTGGGACATCTGCTTAGTGTTCAGTAAAATATGTTAGACTTCATTCCCTTGTCCAGAAAGCACATGATTTGTAAGTTTCCTTTTTTTTTTTTTTTATAAACCAGGGCATACTGGGGTCTAAGATGATTAACAGCTCTCTCAAGAAATGACTCTACCTGGAGAGACTGTAAATCCTGCTTAAGACAGTTTCCGAGTTCATTCCCACAATGTATCCCAGCAAAAGGCCACACTGGCTTTACATTTGCTAAAAACTCTGGGGTCATCCTTGGCTTCTTTCTCTTACGAGCACATCCTGTTGGCCTTACCTTCAGAATGCATCCTGAATCGAATGACTTCTCCTCACTTCAGTGGGCCACAAAGGGCCCAGGGGACCCACGGCCTGTGCCATCTCTACTCAGCCACATGGGCCTCCCGCCATCCCTTGAACCCACTGTGACTAAGCTACTTCCGTGGCCCATGCACACGGCTCACTTCCTCATGTTGTATCTTGCCCCAATGCTTTCTTACTACAGAAGCCTCTCTGCTAAGTCGTACCTACCCTCAGTGTCCCCATTACCCTTACTCAGCTTTTCTGTTCTTCATCTGATAGTGACCTGACTTATCATCATGTTACAAGTGATGCATTTAGTTTTCGGCTGTCATCCCTCAATAGAACATAAACTCTTAAAGAAGAAGAACTTTGCTTTGGTCATTGCTGTTGCTACAGTGCCTGGCCTGGTACATAACAGCAGCTTTAACACTTGTAGGATGAATGAATGCATGAACGAGTACAAGAGAAGGCAAAAAAGAAGAGTTGAACACCCCGCTGTAACTTTTGGTTAGCAGAAAATGAATTTCTGATGGACAAAGATACATGTTTTATGAAAACATATCGGAACGTCTTCCCTCCAAATCCAAAGAGAAACAAAAAATATACCAGACTGCACTTAACAGCTCTAAGAGTGTCTGAAGAACCTGCCATACAGCGAGCAGGTGTTCCCGAAGTGTTTTCGTCTCCTCTACATGCTAGCTCAGAGGCGCTCACCTTCGGGGCGCACTGGAAATGCATCCCAGGCACAGGCAGAGTGGTGACGTACATTGTAATACAGCGGTACAGGTATAAAGTTCCAATGATAAAAAAGAATCTGCGTCCCACTATTGACCTAAAGGAAAAACGGGGATAGGGAGAAACAAGTTGACTCGTTGTTTCTGCTCCTAATGCAATACAGAACGACGTTTAACAGAATAAAGAATGATTAATACAGAGTGGCATTAACAGACCAGTTTCACGGCTCACACACAGGCTTACGTGGGAACAGCCTACCCCTACACTCCAGAAATGAAGGTTCACCTTTTGTAATAAATCTAGGAGGGTTAGGACCCAAAAGGAATGTCTGTAGGGAGTGGAGAAGTTATAGCAGACTAAGGGCTCTAGACAACAACCGCTCCTAAAAAAAAGGCACTCTTTGCCAGAGAATTCAATGAACTGCTCTATGTTTCTCGTCAACACACTACATTAATAAAACCTTCTCTTGAGAACATATCAAAGGTATAAACGAGCCACAGTCACAGAGGAATTAACTAATGAGCTAAGGTGATATTACATAATTGGGCACAGAGGGAAATGGGGCAACTGATTTAACCTCAGTTATATAAGCAAGGTTTATTTGGAGACCATCCAAAAGTATTTTCACAACTTGGGCACGAACTATTTTATCTATGACTATACAGATTTTCAGAGAACTAGATTTTGAAAATGTCCAAAGTACCCTTGTACCTTTATGGACACTTAAGGGTGAAACTCTAAACTGATTAGTTTACCCTTATTTTATTCAACCTCAATAAAAAAAAAAAGGCAAAAAAAAATCCCACAAGTACTTTCATACTTCATATTTTGTGGTGGAGACCTGTCCTGTACCCCTGAGTCCTCACTCCAGTGCAGTGGTTCCCAGAGGTTTGACTTTGTGCACGCTGTCATCCAATGGGAAAGGCTCTGCCTGTTTGCACTGCTGCCTCATGGGTTATCTGAACGGGCTTCGAGGGTTCTGAGCGTCCTGATGTCCAGCGAAAATGACTTGTTTTCTGCTGTGTAATTAGGGGTGGGTCTATAAACTCTGGGTTCTGGGGAGTCACAGAAGGGTGGGGCCCATAAAGCCCCTGGAATTGCTAGTTGTAACCTCCCTCACACATAAACTATATTCCTACAGGTCTCTCATTTTCAGAGCTCTCAAACTTGCAAAACTAATACCGATCAAAGACTTCTGGAAAACTAGGCAGTTTCAGGCATGTGGCATATTTTTAGTTTTCTCCAAGACTGTGGTCTGACGTGGATCAAAGTCTAATTCAGGTAACTGCTGGTACTTCTAATTTACAGAATTATGTACGAATATAATTTTAGTTGCCCATTTCCAGTAACTATTTTAAGAATATTCCAGAGTTTCTGGGGTCAAAATATAGAGTAGAAAACTACCTAGACTATTAAATGAGGGGTGCCTGGGTGGCTCAGTCAGTTAAGTGCCTTCAGCTCAGGTCATGATCTTGGGGTCCTGAGATAGAGCCCCATGTTGATCTCCCTGCTCAGTGGGGAGTCTGTTTCTCCCTCTCCCCCTGCTGCTTCCCCCTGCTCTTGTGTGCACTCACTCTCTCTCAAATAAATAAAATCTTAAAAAAAATAGACAATTAGATGAAAGTATTTATTTAGTGTAAAGCCATTTCTTTCAAAGGCCTGCTATATTAGCTCTGCCTTTTCTAGTACTGAAAAGGAAAGGGTGATAATCAGTGCTGAGTCTCTCCATTTGGTTAAGTGAAAAACAATTCACCCTTTGCTTCAACCTCAAACCCAAAGACTGTTGAACTGGGTGCTCCATGCTGTTAGACAAGGTGAAGTAATAAGCAAAAATTATTATGAGTCAATTATATTCATTCCAGCATTCTGAGTTCAGCTGTACTCAGAACTGAAAATTAACTTAGAAGGTAAAATGTGCACTCTGCAACCTTATTTAGAAAAATAACTACTGCTAATGACTTTTTTCCCACAGCTTTGAAGGTGCTTTTACAGGAGAAAGCAAGTAGGATTTCTCATTCAGCTAGGATGTTCAAAACAGGTTGTAAAAATTATTCTACTAGTTACTAAAATGATACAATTCTACCTCAAAAGTAAAAAAAAAAAAAAAAGTATGATTTCCCCAACAACTTTCTGATGAGTTGTGATCAAAACAGTAGGTTATCATTAAAATGTGTGGCCAGCTATGTGACCACAAGTTTATTTGTTTGTTTGGGGGGGGGACAGGGAGAGAGAGAATCTCAAGCAGGCTCCATGCCCGGCGCAGAGCCCGACTCGGGCTCGATCTCATGACCCTGGAATCATGACCTGAGCTGAAATCAAGAGCTGGCCGCTTAACTGACTGAGCCACCCAGCACCCCCAGGAGTTTTGACATGGTAAAGCCTAAGGTACTCATGGAGTGGCAGTTCATAACAACTCTCTAGATAAAGATTCAAATAAATTGAGACTGTGCTTAAGCAGCACGGTAGAAGCCAGCTACTTACCAGACCCTGGAAAATGTCTCTTTTCATGTATATATGAATAAAACGTTGGTCTAAATTAAGGGAGAAAGCAAACACCTTTGGCCTAAGCAGGCTCTTTTATTTTCAGTGTCAATTGTAGACACCCAAAAGAGAAATGCTAAAGTTCAACAAACCTATTGCTTGCTTTCAGCATAAAGCATACCAAAACTTAACAGCTTTGGCAGGAAATAGTTCTGGTAAAAGACCCTTGATAGCTGCCTTTTACTTACACATACCAAGGAAAATGTTTAGGAATGACTTCAGTTTGTAGAACAAGCTTTCAAAACTGCAAACTTGAATTTGGGGGAACTCTTGAGCAAAGAGATTGAATTCTCAAAGCAACAAGAAAATGAAGGAACACTATAGCGTAAATTCTCTCTCCTAAACATGATCTTGTGGCATTAATGCAGAAATCCCATTTGTGAATTTTTGAACAGTATCGACTAAGTTAGTACACATTACATTTTCAAAAGCCTCCGTTTATGGGCAAGGTTTTGATCCAACTTCTATTGTAGTGATTTAATTGCTAGAATCTTAGTAGAGAACAAAACACCTGAAGGAGACATGAGATGAAAAGGGAATTGCCGGGGCCCTGTTTTTATGGACTAGCAGTCAGATTTCACAGGGAAGCAAAAATAACCTCTTCAGAGCTATGTCCTATTTTTAAGCGTCTTTAAGGCAAAAGTACGTGGCTTTACTACTCCCAGAACAGGGAGACTGAATGAACTAAGAGCTCCCTTGTGGTGCCACAGGGAAACTGGACAGCACGGTTACTTGAGAAACCTAAAACCCAAACTGCATGGACCCACGCCTAAATGCCGCTTCTGAAACTCCTGTGACTCGACTGCCAATAGGCAACAGAAAAAGAAATGTAAAATTTGTGAACTCCTGAATAGAAGCAAACCTCAAAGAATGCTATTGACTCTAGACCAATACAGTCATCACACTATGAGCAATAGAAGAAAGTTCCCTGGCGACGCCATTCCCCACCTGTTAAAAGCCTAAAATAACAAAAGCATGATGAGGTTAATGTTATTCCTTTCTAAGCCTCTTGATTTATCATGCAGATACCATAGCACCAAGTTGCTTGAGATCAGGAACTGCACCTTAAATTCATCAACTCTGAATCACCAACCACAGTACATCTGTAGAGTCCTCATGGTTACCTCTCATACACAGTTGTTCAATAAATGTTTATTTATTCAACACGGTTGATCCTTCTGTTGCTTCCTGTCATCAAATGCCTGGATCTGACTGAATTCAACAGACAAAACCGAGGAAGACCATTTCAATTACACATCTACCCCCTTAAACACAAACTCAGGGCAAGCCCATCCCCCCACCCCCCATGAGCAGACCTACTTACTTGTATCTTAGAAACAGCCACTGGGTGATCCATAATCCAACCAATATAATCCCATTTATTTCTGATACAGAAAATGCCCATTTTACCCGATCAATGTAATCAAAAAACTTGTCTGGTAGTGGGGGGCTGAGCTCCTTGGGAGGCACCCTTTCATGTACAACTGTGATCATGACGGTGGTTAGGACGAGGTTGAAAAGGGCGTACACGAAGGCAATGCCTGTTTTCCACCACTCCAGGGGAAATTTGTTCCTGGATTCAGTGGGCATAGCAATCTGGATATAGTCCGGGTACTTTTTGGTGCCCTTTCGCAACCCATTGGATAAGCTCTTCGGTTTACTGTTGCCATTTTTGTTTTCTTCTTCGACAGGCTCGGCAGGTCTTGTGTAAGCATTTGCAGGATCATTGGTTTGATTTTCCATATGTTCTTCAAGTTTTGCTGTCTCTATAATATCCATTGTCCCCCAGTCTTCAGATCAAAAGGGAGATGGCAAAGTGCGTGTTTTTTTGTGCAAACTTAACTTTTTTAAATCCTTCTACTTCCAAGATCAACATGGATTCCTATAACTGATTTTGTTTCTTAGCACAAAACGTAGAAGGTAGCCATCTGATTACTGTTCCCCCCATGCAGCCGCCTGCGGTACACTCGCCACTTTCAAGAGAGGGAGCCAATTTTCTTTCTCCCAGAGGTGTTACTATCCCACCTGCAAAAAGGAAACAAAAATTGTTCAGACACTGTGCTTGTCCAATTGTCAACCATCCAAAACAAAAACATTATCAAAATAAGGAAGCGAATACCAAAGCCATTTGCTTTAGAAATATATCGTCAGAACATGGTTAATGCTGTTGAGATGGAGTTTATTTGCAAAATATGGACTTGTTTTATCCTGGGACTCTTGTCTCTTTTTGAGCCGATGTTAGTATAAATAGGACCATTTTAATAATCAATTCCTTTAAAATTTCTTTAAATAAAAGTCAGGACGCAACTTTGCAAAGCCTTCATCAGACACTATTACTTGTTGCTAACCATGAAGTCATAATAACTTAGAACCTCTCCAGAGCTCACATCACTCTTTCCTAAGGCTGCAGCTTTTCTATGAACCTGCAAGAATACAAAACTGGGATGAGCTGCTCACATCAACTGAGTAACTGTTACTCTCTCCATTTGTCGATGAGTCCATTTTTTATTTCCTCCTTAAGAAACTGGAGTCTTTTTAAGGGACCACATTCCAGAACAGATTCAAGAACCACACATTCAAGATACTTAAAATCGTCACTGCCTCAGTTTATCCTTCGATATGTAGAGATGCACACCCTACACCAGGAAAGCTGACAGCCTTCAAAATAATATGGTGAAAAGACACACAAAGCCTTAGCTACGTCGCGTTGAGGGAACGCATTCTACTTGTTACTCGAAAGGTAAAATCCTGCAATTGGCATGGTAAATTAGTAAGGAACAACATTTTGAGACAAGCACTGCAAGATCTACCAGGCAATAGAAACCGACACCCAGAGGGCCAGCTCCCAGCACTCACCACCACGACACGGATGAGGAAAGGGTGACTTTGGCTTAAGCTCCACAAGCTCTGGAGAGCAAAGACTTCTTTGCAACAGAGAGCACCAAGCACCAGCTCTTTTATACTGGTTAGCAACACGGCCCCAGCTGTTCTCAATTTAGGAAAGCAGTATTTTAGTTGTGCTGCAGAACCCAGCCACCTGAAGGAGTTTTCAAACCTCGTAATTAGTCCCCGCCCTGAGTACACTGCACAACTTAAAGCATAATTCTTCACATTTTAAAGGCCTCCCTTTTAGGGGAACTTCAAGAAAAAATGGGGGAGGGAATTCAAAGTAAGCTCTTATTTAATGAAAGAAAAAGGGGGAAAGGAAGCCTTTATTTAACGAAAGAAAAGGGGGAAAAGTTAAAATGGCACAGTCAATAAGTACAGGCAATATTTGTTGAGAGTATGGATAGCAAATAGAGCGACCACAAGTGTTTCTTGTGCACCTGAACACCCCAGCGCGGAGGGAGCAATGGGGAGGCAATTAAAAGGAATTTAAAAAACACGGCTGACCTGAGCATTCATCCAAGGAGCTTGCAGTCTAACTGAAGAGACAGAACTCAAGTGACAAAAATCTACTGGGGAATGATCACTAGATAAAATGTAGTTTTAGGGGCGCCAGGGGGGCACAGTCGGTTAAGCATCTGACTCTTGATTTCACTTCAGGTTGTGATCTCAGGATCCTGAGATTGAGCCCCGAGTCAGGTTCCACACTCAGTGTGGAGTCTGCTTACGATTCTGTCTCCCTCCCTCTGCCCCTCCTGCTCATTTTTTCCCTCTCTCTCTCAAATAAATCTTTTAGTGAAACAAAACAAAACAAGACAAGTGTACTTTTAGTTGTACCCCTGCTCCCCTGACAAGATGTGTCTACAGAGAGGTACTGTCCTTTTCTGGGGAAGAGAAAGCATGAGGAAAGTTGGCCTGGAGAGAAATGGAGGGTCACTGGAGGATGGAGATGGGCTAAGAGGTATCACTGAGAAGCAGACATCGCACCTTTCTCTGGTCCCTGTGAAAAGCCACAGACACGAATACACTACAGCAGGATGAGAAAGGACCAGTGCCCCTCTCGGGAAACCAGGATGGACAGATATTCTTTGTAGGACCCTCGCACAATGCTGTAGGAAGAGTAAGTATAGAGAAGAGGTGCGTCAGTAAGATATTTGCAAAAACAAACCTTTGACAGCATGGATTACCACTTCTAACAGAGATGCCAAAACACTAACTCAGCCATTGCCTCTCTTCACCAAGTCTAGGCTAATCCACGCATAGCATCTTACCAAACGCATCAAAATTCCCTCCAACTTTACTACTCCACATCTGCTCCTAGCCTGGCGTTCGTATGTGAAAGAAACTTGAGATTTTTGAAGCCCAGGTCCACTGGGGGACATACTGACAGTTTTTATAAGGTAGCTATCCAGTTCTAGAACATAGAACGTAGAACAGAAGAAAATCCAATTAGTTACCTGTTTGGCTGTTGTTTGTTTGTTTTCGCTAAGAGGAAGCACTCAGCTACCCACCTCATGGGACAACTGTGAGGATGACTGACATAAATAATCATGAAGAGCCTTGTGCTCATGGGAGTAAGAGCACTTTATGAGTGCCCATTTATCGTCATTAGTAGCAAGACTGATATTTTCCTTGGGATTTCGTTAAGAAGACTGAATATACAAAGCACACTATCCTGTGTCAACCAATCTTGGGACACAACACTTGTCATCAAGATGACGATTACAACATATTCATTCCTATGGTGATCCTTTCCTACCAGTAAGTATCTGGGAAAGTGACAAAAGCCACAATAGTTTCTCTCGATGGATGGCAATCCCATTAGTTCGTTTGTTTAGGGTACTAATGCCAGAGCACAAGGCAGATGAAAAGCTTTCCAAGTCCTCTTACACTGCAAAATATCAGAAGCTAACCTAGAGAATATTTTAAAAGTTAAAGACTTCTATAGTCTAATCTTCCTTTGAAGGCAAGTGCAAAAACTCTGAAACTGTTAGTACACTGATATTGTTAGGTTTTTTTTGGGGGGGGCGCCAAAGGATGATGTATGTATTCCAGAAATGCAAGGAAGGTTTCCAGTTAGCAAAGGGCTGTAATAAAACACAAACATATGTAAATAGAAAAGATGATTATCTTGAGTGAGGTCAAAAAGGAATTTGATACAGATCAATATCCACTTGGTTTTGGGGGGAGAAAGTATTCAATAAAGGGAACAGAAGTACCTAAATAGAGCCACATTCTTCAATACCAGTTGCATGTCATATGTGTGCCAATATCTAGTGGAAAAAGTCTTCCACTGTTACTCCTCTTTCTTTCCAACCCTAAATGAACTTTAGAAACTTTTTTGTCAAATTACAAGAAAACACACTATTAGCTTCTGTTTTATTTCCATCACCTCTATTTCGTAAAGGGTTTGATATTACCGTGTTCATACATACATTAGTCATTTCCCCTTAATAATCTCAACAGGATTTTACCTGTAATTTGACAAAATGATTCCAAGGTTCACACTGGTAGGTATTAGGCTATATTACATTAAGTAATAATGGGGTAATAGCACCCAGTTATTCTGAGTTCATCCAAAGGAAATATGAATGTACACAAAATATTTCTACAAGTATGTTTTCAACAGTCATTTATAAGAGAAAAATGAAAATGATCTAATATCCAACAACAGGGAATTAGTTAAATGAATCATGGTTATCGTAACATAAAATACTGTGTTTTGATATAGTAACTATAACAGTATGAGACAAGTATATAAATACTACATAAGAAGGATGCATTATCCAATTAAATACAAACTTAGATCTGAATAGGAGATGAGGAATCTCAATAATTGACATCAGAGGTTATAGTTTTTAAAAAATGGGAAAGGGGGGCGCCTGGGTGGCTCAGTTGGTTAAGCAACTGCCTTCGGCTCAGGTCATGATCCTGGAGTCCCAGGATCGAGTCCCCCATCGGGCTCCCTGCTCAGTGGGGAGTCTGCTTCTCCCTCTGACCCTCCCCCCTCTCATGTACTCTCTCTCTCTCTCTCATTCTCACTCTCTCAAAATAAATAATAAATAAATCTTTAAAAAATAAAAATAAAAAAATAAAAAATGGGAAAGGGGCCACATGACAGATAGTCAAGGCTATCAGAAAAGGTACAAGTGTGAAACTCGTAACGCACGCATCTCCTGGGCAGTCCTGACCCAAAGCTCACTGACGGCATCCTGGATGGAGACTAAGTGTAGACACGAGCTCCCGTCGGAGGGCTCAGAAATGCTCTGCTTGTTGAATGCCAGCCTCGTTGTGCACTGGTGTGGTTCAGAAGACATATTAAATATGTAAATATAGTTTAAAAATCAAGGAAATTTATCTAAGTTTAAATATGGATTTTAATGTTTATAAAGAGGTATCTTTTGAAGAAAGAAGTTAGACATCGACGGAAGAAAATGTGTTTAACATTTGCAAGTTGGAATTATGAATAAAAGAAATTTATACATGGAGCTTAAAGGCTTAGGAAAAACTAGGTCTTGAAACAATTTTATTGAATTGAAAAGCAATGGAAACAAACACCTGATAAGTTTCTTAACAGACATAAAAGCTTTCTCAAACTTAAAAAAACTCAGATGTCACCACAAAGCCATTAAAAAGTTGTAGAATAAAACAGCCATGCATAGTTCTCAGAAAAAAAGTACTTATCTAATTAATCCTCATTATAACCCTAGGAAGGATTTTAAAGAAATTGGGATAAAGTGAGATGCTCAAGGTCAAACAGGTAGAAGAAGCAGAGCCCAGACTGGAACCAGAAATCTGACCTCAGGAGCCCCTATTCCTTTTTTTTCTTTATTTAAGTTTGTTTGTTTGTTTGTTTAGAGAGCTAGGGGGTGGGGGGGAGGGGCACAGGGAGAGGGAGAATTTCAAGCAGGCTCTGCACTGAGCGCGGAACCCAACCCAGGGCTCAATCTCATGATCCTGAAATCATGACCTGAGCCAAAATCGAGTTGGACACTTAACTGACTGAGCCACCCAGGCACCCAAGGAGCCCCTATTCTTAGTGGCACACCACGACCTCCAGTACCATTACATGTAAGAGGTCAACAATATAGTCAGCAATAAATAAATGAATGAATAAATAAATGACAATTATGAGCTTT